CCAGTCTATTCCTCTCTGCCTCCAGTCATTATAGTTCCTCAGTGTGAGAGTATGGCCCAGTCTATTCCTCTCTGCCTCCAGTCATCACAGCTCCTCAGTGTGAGAGTATGGCCCAGTCCGTGGTACTCTGTTCAGAGGGGACTGAGGTTGGGCAGTGACCACAGCACACAGGCAGAGCCGGCTCACCTGCCCTGCTGCAGGCAGCGTAGAGACACGCTCGCTGCACCTGTGCTACTCCCCAGCTGCAGGGGATCCTACAGCACAACAGGCTGTCAGGGATGCCTGTAAGCCAGTTTCCTCCCAACTAACACAGACTTTACACAGGGGTGTTGACATAACGCATCGGTTTTGAACCTATTTAGCTGATTTTACATGGCTAGGATGACAGACGCCCCCGATCTCTCACTTGTTAAACCCAAGATGTTAACAATCTCGTTCTCACAGCCTGGGGAGAGCACACTTGCTACAAGGCAGCACAGGATTGCAGGGAATAAGACACTACTAATAATAATTTGTGCATGCATTCCACCTACTGCTTCACCGGTCACTAGCCTGTCCAGTGTTATCCAGGCCTCTTGACCTGCAGTGCTCAGAATAGGACCGGGATCTGCCCTGATTGTACAGTACTGACTGACACATCTGAGAGCAATCCAGGTCTCCCCTCAGGCTGCGCTAAAGGGAGCGTGGTGACGTCGCCCCCGTGGCCAGCATCCGAGTTTCTAAGTAAAAAGAAAAGGACAACCTGAGCTGGGCTGCAGCTGATACGACTCCCTCTGTCAGCAGCCCTGGGACAGAGCGCAACGCTGTTCCGGTCCCGTCAGCTGCTGCCCGGCTCACCCCGAAGAGTCGGCGCCGACCCCCCGCCACCGCACGGGCCCCGCCTGCGCTCTGTGCTCAGGATAGCAGGGGAGACAGATGGCGAGAGTTTGTCACCCGTCTTAAACGAGCAAAAGCAGGCGGCAGGTGTTCATGGAAAACAACGCAGCAACTTCGATCCAGTTCAGGTTCCGAGAGCCACGCCCTCTAATAAGAGTCAAACAGGGGCTCCGTCCTAGCCGTTTCCCGGCTGGGTCCCTGTTTTGAGCAGATCTGCTCAGACGGATTTGTGATGTGTTCGTGTGTGTAACACATATAACTTTGCTGCTTAATCTTTTCGCCTTTTTTTTTTTACAGGAGATGGCGGCCTGCAGAACCTGAGACGGGTCCAGCTGGCTATGAACCGGGAGTCGGATAATTTTGCTCCCGCAGCAGCGTGAGTGCCGGCATGGACAAACGGTGCACCTGGCGATGCTGTCTGCATTGTGGTCTCTTTAAAACAAAAGAAAAAAAAGTCGTTCAAAAGAGCGTCCCTGAAAATCAACACCCTTATATTCTTTCTCTGCATTACAGGAACCTAATCAACAAATTGAATTTTGTGCTTACGGGTCCTGCTGGAGTAATCAATGACAGGGAGGCACTGCAGAGGTCCCTGTGTTTGGCAGCGTGCTCTCGGGGGCCGGCGACGGCGGGATTGAGTCTCAGCCGCCCTCGATCAGCTCGGAGCGGCTGGAGAGTCAGGACGCGCAGCGCCGCACCGCTATTGACCGGAGCGCACGCGGATCGAGTTTTACTGAACATGATAGCGCGCGGGGTAGACGCGCCTGACCTACAGTACAGATACCCCGCTCGTGAGCAGCTTTACACATGGGTGGGAAAAAAGAGGCAGCGAAACTCTTTCCCTTGCCTGTAGGGATTCTCGGGGTTCTCCCTGGGTTGTTGTACCCTGCAGCAATTTAGTGCAGAATTCAGCTCCGAAAATTCACCCTGTAAACATGATCAAAGCGGAAAAAAAAGTTATTTCACTACGAAGGAAATGGGGAAACTGGCCGTTTGAAAGCATTCATTTGAAAACTTTAGGAAAATGCTTTTTTTTCTCTTTTATTAAAAGGTTTACAAGCTGCTTTACAGCTTTTTAACTTTTCTTTATAAATTCACCCCTTTGCAAATAGCTAAGTGTTAAGCTTGGCCCTTAGAAATGGAAAAATAAGTGCACAGCGCCAAGGAGACGCAGCATATTTGAATTTTATATTTCTATGCTTTTCTGAAAGTAAGGGAAAAATCTTGGTGATTTTTTTTTTTGTTTTCATAATTTCCTTATGATGGACGCAGCCATAAATAGCCAAATGTAAACAACTCTGTATTGTTCCTATAATGAAAAACACCACATTGTGGTTTGAAGCTGCTGGAGAAATGCTTTAAAAATGTGCATTTTTTTCCTTTTCAGATCCCAACAAATAATTTAACAATTAAAGCTACAAGTCACTTTTGTTTAGCTGTGTTGCTTTGCATGGCAACAAATGTTCCAGAAGAACAATCCGGTAGGGCACTAGGAAGACTGCAGGCCTGCCCTTGTGGTTTCCACGCTGGGGTTTATAAGCATGGTTTCAGTCTAATGAGAAAGAAATGCAACTTTCCTGGTCTCGGCTCTGCTTGGTTTTCAGCTTTCACAGAAAACATCCTGGTAGCTTTTCCTCTGGAGCAGAGCGTGGATTTTCTCCTCTGTCTTCAAGCATTCAAGATGAAACAATGTACTGTAAGACGAAGTGTGCATTGGCCAGCAA